GTATTTCATATTTTACAGATTCTCCTCAGTGATTGTATTTCCATCTGGATCAGCCATCTTGGTGTTTTTCTTCATCCTTCTCTGAGAAAATGACAGGCCTACTGTTTTTCGCCAAACTCAGCAGTCGTCAGATAATTTTAGTCCCGTCAAGATACACGTCTGTGATTTTCTATGCAGATGCCAACTGCTTCTGCTTGCCACATTTAGTCACGTAGAGTGCATATCGCTAACCATCCCCCAAATATTAAACACTTCCAGAGTCGCGAAATGAAAAACGGATGCTTCTCTTATACTTTGTGATTATTTTTTTATTGGATTTTCAAATTGTTGCCGGAATCTTGGTTCATCCCAATCTGAAATATGAGCCAGCGTCTCTTCTTTATCCCAGTGCCTCTTTGATCGTTTGGATGCCATGTTGTGAATGGTCCATAATCATATGACCATGTGACAAAAACATCCAGGTTCGTAGAAAATACAACCCAGTAGAAACTCACTCCTCCTGTGGTACTTTTCTTGCTGACTGGATGCAAGAGTTTTATCACTGAGGCGATGTGTAAAAAAATTATTACAGACGTCCCCCTAAAGACGCATCCAATCCGAACAGGGCTATAGACACAACCAGTATAAGTATGCAAACTAATCAAGGGATAACACCAAACAGGTGTTATACAGACCAATGTCATGGCAGGGGTAGTTTGTGACATACAGTAGTCACAAAATAACAGCAAATATTTGCAGTGTCATACTCTGCAAACACACGTCTGTCTTAGACATGACTTTGTGATACCATTTTATCCTAATATTGTGAAGCTGTGCCTTCTTCTGGTAGAGGGAGACTACCACTGACTGAACATTTAACAGCTCAAATTAAAAAAAAAAAAAAAAAAGTGGTTCTAGGACTTGCTATAATGTCTTGGACAGCTTTGTTTAAATTTGTTTTAAAATGAGATCATTTAACAAATAGTGTTTGATGCAAAATTTGGATATACAGTGCCTTTGTATACAAGCCTTAAGAGTGCCTTAAAAGTCATCAGTTTCGTCTGGATTTCAAATGACACTTACACAAATTGTTCCAGACAGTATTTTTATTGCAAACCAACATGTTCTTAAAGTTCAGTTTCAAAGTCAAAATTCATCATTTGCTAGCAGATCTTAAAAAAAAATAAAAACTGAAAAATGCTGCTTGCATAATTATTCAACCCCTTGAGATTAGTTTTTGGTAGAACCATCTTTTGCTGCAATAACAGCCTTAAGTCTGTTGGAGTAAGTTCCTATCAGCTTTGCACACTGTTTGGGAGAGATTTTCACCCATTCTTTTGCTCCATTGCTCCAGGTTCTTCAGGTTGGTTGGATGTTGTTTAATGACCGCAATATTCAAGCAGTGCCACAGATTCTCAATGGGACTCAAAACTGGACTTTAACTTGGCCATTGTAGAACATTCACCTTTTTGTCACCTTTTTTGTTTTTAACCACTCCTATTCTGCTTTGGCCTTGTGTTTGGGACTGTTGTCCTGCTGAAAGGTCTCCCAAGCTTTCAGTTGCAGGCTTTCTTGTAATATCTCCCTGAACTTTGTTCCATCCATTCTCCCTACAACTTTGACAAGAAGATCAGGTCCTGAGGATAAAAAGCATCCCCAGAGCATGATGCTGCCACCACCGCATTTCACTGTAGAGATTATGTTAATTGAGGTATGGTCTGTGTTAAATTTGCGCCACACATAGCACTTTGAAACTAATCTCAAAACAAATATCTCAATCTTGTCTCGTCTCATCACACCAAAAAAATGGCTCTTCTTCAGCAATGGTTTCTTTCTAGCCACCCTCCCATACAGTCCTCAATTATGCAGAGCTCATGAAATGGTTGTCTGTTGCACCTTCACTCCACTCTCAGCCACTGCACTCTGTTAGTCTCTGTCCTGATTTTGCACTGAGTTTCCAGCACCCTATTCCTAAATTATGAAATTCTATTACCTTATCTTTAACTTCCTGCAAATGCTCCTTAGTCTTCATTTACACTCATTTCCTTCAGACGGACAATCTCTTCAATGACAGTTCAACTGAGGGGGGTTTGGTTCGGAAAACAGCAGCTGTTTTAATATTTCACAGGAGAAGGTCAAATATCAGTCAATTATGTCCTCATTAAGAGAATATCTTTCATCTGGGGGGTTGAATACTTATGCAACCAATAATTAATTTTGACTTTGAAGATTCACTGTAAGAGAACAAGAGGTTGCAAGTAAAAACACTGACAGGAAAGGAGGGGGAATACTTTTGCAAGCAATATTTGGCAGAATAGAATTTTATTACTATCATTTCATATAAAAAATAGGGAATTGCTCCCAGTGACACCTAGTTCCCCTGCCTGACAGCTCACTATATTAGTGACAGTGCACTAATTCACTTATTCCTTTTCATCTCTTTTCTGTGACGTCATTGCTATATTCTCTTTGTTTTAGTTTTAACACACACTGATTCAAATTTCTTTAGTCCACTGTCTAATCTCCTCCACACCTCCCTGAGCAGAGCTTTCAGTAACCGAATCCTCACTAGTAGAGGCTTCAAAAACTTTACAGAACAACCTCAGAAACATTATTCAGGAGGCGAGTTGCACTCATTCTCTGTTATTAACACATTTTACCAAAAGAAAGGTTTGTTCTCAGTAACCGCCTTACACTTTTGTCATTCAGAAAATCCTCTGAGGCCAGTTGCACCAACTGAGCTTACACCTGATAATCTAAATAGGTCAGAAACCTCCGGGTGTAAATTTACACCATTGCACCAACTGGGACTAAACTAAATTTTCACTAAAAGCCAATGTACAAAGGAATAAACTCAGTTCTAGACAGGAGTATTCAACAAAAACATTTGTAACGGTCCAGCTAAAATAAAAGTGCTTGCTTACAACGGTCCCAATAAGCAACAAACATGACTAAATGGTGAAAGGTGTTTTGTTGTTGCTGCCGTTGGTGGTGATAGTGGTGCTAGTGGTGCTGGTGGTGGTGCTAGTGGTGGTGCTGGTGGTGGTAGAGGAAGAGAGATTAAGTGTAGTATCTGTTCTTGTCAGTTTAAAAAGAAAATATTTGGAAGAGTTTTAACAGATCTTTTTTCTTTTTTAATCAGAACTGTTAAAACTCTTCCAAATCTTTTCTTTTTAAACTGACAAGAACAGATACTACACTTAATCTTTCTTCCTTTTCTTGAAAAGATTTTTTTTCAGATCATTAATTTTCTATAAATCCAAGTGTCCACTGCAACTGGGGTTGCTGAACTACCAGCACTTTTTTAAATACTTTAATTGGCTCTGCCATAGTATCTTTTTCTTTTTTTTTTCTTTTTTTTTGAGCACAATGAAATACTTTGCTGGGTCCACAAGTGCCTGTGTATGAGCTGCTACTATTGAAACAATAACTGAGCCATGCTGTTATATGAAAATAATGCACACCTTCTGACCAACTAGATTCAAGCACTCAACCACGCTGTGGTATAAAAAACATTAAATGCTTCAGTGGCGGACCTGGTCTACCATATTTACAATGAGTAGTGTTTGGAATAAAAAGTGGTTATTAGGGACTGATCCACTAATCCTGTATATTGTCATTCTGAATCCATAGAATCCATGCATGTCATATACTTGCATGCTTCTTCATTCCAGGGATTTTAGTTCCATTATTGAAAGTAACCTTCAAGCATGTTGGAATTAAACCGTAGTGACAATTAGAATAAACTTCTGAAGAACTTTTGAGTGATGAGAGATAACAAGAGGGATGAACTAAATATAGGTCTGAGGTGCTAGAACCTGAGAGAAGAGAGATAGAAAATCCACACCTTCCGCTTGAGTAGACTGACATGCTTCCTCTTGGACAATAAGCAAAAGAGACAGGACGCCAAGAGGCAGGGGCTTCTAGGACATCCTGCTGATCATGAAAGCAGTGGTAGAAGGCCTGAGTGTAATGCTAATTTATCACTGTTGCAACCAGGGAGTGACTAACACAGACATACAGCAGAAATGCAATCAGCTAATAGCAGGACCCGTACTAAATAAACAGGACAATACAATAGAAAGCTGTCTACTGCGAAGTCTCTGTCTATCTCTTGACAGATCAGGTATGGTGCCTTATTCAAAGACTTGTCTCTCTTTGTGAAGATTATTATAAAAGAAGAACACAGCTTTTCTTCAGCTCTTTTCTCAAGGGATGTCTCAGCACAGCCATGCCCAGTATGTATCAATTACAGTGACAGCTCCATCTTTTCTGTACACCTCTCTATTTATGCCACCGGTTTCATCAGAAAATAATCTCTAGCTTCTCCATCCCCCTTCACAAATAGCACAAATCAGAGAAACATATCAGGTACCGTATATAGTGCAAGGCTGTAAAGCAGTCCCAGCCTATATACACATCAACAATTATTACACATCTGTATAAGGATTGTGGCCGCAGACAAATTGTTCAAAGAAATTTCATACGAACCATATGATAAATCAAGGTACAAATGCATGCACGTCTTTAATAATAAACATACTGTACATTAATTAAAGAAATAGATATTCATAAAATAACTAGATGGAGAGAAACTAGAACACAAGCGAAGCAAGAACACCAGGGACCAAAAGCATAAACTGGAAAAACATACAGTATATGCATCATGATCAACTTGAAACAAACTACAGGAGACATAATAGACTGAAAACACAAAACCAAAACAATAACAAAAGCATATTTAAAACTAAGAACCAGATGTGAAAGGAGCGCATGTCGTACTGGAAACCGCAAAGATGGGGTCTCTCATTGTGTTCATGCAAAATTCGCACTAAACACAATTGTTATTGCACTATATTGTATTTTTGTCAGTTAGTTATGTCTCTGGGGTATTGTGGTGGCACAGTGGGTTTCATTGCTGCCTCACAGCTCCAGGGTCCCTAGTTCGAGCCTGAGCTTGGTTTACTGTCTGTGTGGGGCTTCTAAACATGTTTTCCCTGTGTCACCATAGGTTTCTTCATGTCCATGGAGGACTAGTGGTTAGGCCTCTGTGCTCTCACCACCATGGCCTGGGTTCAATTCCCAGCCAGACAGTGCACTTCCAGTGCCAGTCCCAAGCCCGGATAAAATCAGAGAGGGTTGCGTCAGGAACGGCATCTGGCATATAATCTGTGCTAAATCAAACATGCGGACCAATGATCCACTGTGGTGACCCCTAACGGGAGCAGCCGAAAGAAGAAGAACAACCGTGGGTTTCCTCCAGGTTCTCCAGTTTCCACCCACCTCCCAAAAACATACTGTTAGGAGGAGTGGCTATGCCCCTAAGTGTAAGATCATGTGAATGTGTGTGCATGGTGCTCTACAATGGGCTCCTACATTGAACAGGTTTACTCCTGGGATAGGCTACGGATCCACCACAATCCTGACCAGGATTATTAAAAGAAAGAGAAAGTGAGTGAGTTATGTCCGTCACCACTGTGTTAAACAATAGCGTGCAGTAAAAATAGCTTTATACAAAAACAAAGGTGACTGTGACCTGCATGATTCCAGTGAGTCACTTCTCCAGTGCATTTCTGGCAATTTAAAAAGCATTAGTGCACATCTGCTCTCAGAACACAGGTGTAAAATGTTCAAATAAAAGCACATGTATATAAGGGGCAAGAGACTGGGGAAGAGGGAGAAGAGTACAAACCTGTGGTGATATATAAAAGGGAAGAGTTGTACACATGATGACAAATGATATGTGGGTCATTGCCTAGGTATGGATGAGGTTGAAGGGTGTAGCCTCCACTGAACCTTCTGCAGCATTGATACTACGCAAGGCAATAAAAATTGGTGTGTGAGTACTATCACACACTAAACAACAACGCATGTTACTGTATAGCGGTAATCTTGATCCGAGTATGCTATTGCAGACTGTGCTGTAGAAACCATGGAGCTATATTTACACTCTGATGGTCAAGGACTACACGTCACACCTCACACCAGAACAAGAGACACCAAAAGTCAAAGTGGTGTATGCTAACCATTCCATTTGAATCAGAGATTTAGAATGCTATTGCACAAGATGGCACCATCTTTCAGAACATCATCCCTGTAAGTCTCTCCACTATAGACATGATTCTGAACAGGCACATAATGCCAATTAAGCATTTGTATATGGCTGCATCTGAAGCAAGGAAGGTGCAGAGATATCTGTCGAGTAATGTGTTTCCTTTCTATAATTTACAGTATATCTGTGTTTGATGTGAGGTATGTTGTTCTTGTGTCATTTGAAGTGAACACATTTGTGTATGAACACATTTGTGTATGTAAATGATGCAGGATTCAACCTGAACAAAGTCAGGCAGCGTATCATAAGAATCGAACATCACTTCAATTCAGTTTTACTTGTATAGAACTTTAGAAAGTTTAGAAATGCAGAATTAGGATGCAGATTTAGATCCCCAATGAGCAAGCCTGAGGCGCCGAGAACATCATAAAGCCACAGTGAATGCATAAGGGTAACACTACTACTATTCCTGCAATCTCAGGAAATAGTGTCATGCACCATGTTCCGACCACTGGCCTGTACAAAACAGACTGTCTTCTTGATTTCTTGGGGCCTTTACACTGCTCTAATTACTGATTATGGAAAATGAGTGGTGAGACAAGACATGCCAAATTACATCAGGGAATGGTTCGCTGCCCACTAACTAATATCAAGAAAGGAATAAAACATGACAAGGTGTGCTATTGTAGAATAAGAATCCACAATGTTACCACCCTAATGTGGATCATTTTCCTATAATATCACTTCCCAAAGTGTTTATATATATATATATATATATATATATATATATATATATATATATATATATATATATATATATATAATATTTAAATGCCTTTGATAAAAGAAGAACATTAAAATCATTTTCATGAATCGGGAAGCTGTTGCAAGGTTGTGATGTACTTTAACAGGAAATATGCACATCAAGCACACCACAACTCAAGCACATCACACACAACACTGTTCTCAAACTTACTGACAAATTCAAAAAGACTGGAGGTGTTGCAGACCAACCAAGAAGCAGACTTCCATGAGCATCCACTGATGAAGTGGTGACGTGGTGCTGGCATACATAGTCCCCTCTGTATGGAGACTTTTGGGACATCCTGTAGTTACATTTAATGTTGTGGAATGTTTGCAAGACAAGATAGCTCCTGTTATGACTTATATCATTCCCTCACCAGCCTCTTTTTTTCTTTCTTGAAGTTAATTACTGAGAAACCAGAAAGCGCAAAGTCCTCTGTGCTGAAGCAGAAAAGTCTGAAGCTGAAAAACCTTCCAACCGCTGCAAAGCACTAGAGACTACTTCTACAAATGCTCGATTCAATTCAATTCATTTTTTATTTATATAGCGCTTTTACCAATGGGCATTGTCACAAAGCAGCTTTACAGAAACCCAGATATAGATTTAGATCCCTAATGAGCAAGCCAGGGGCAACGGTGGCAAGGAAAAACTCACTGAGATGACACGAAAAAGAAACCTTGAGAGGAACCAGACTCAAAAGTGAACTTATCTTCTTCTGTGTGACACCTGATAGTGAGATTATGAGTCATTACTCATCCATAACTGTATTCTATAAGGTCATACAGTATTGAGTATGTTGAAATCTTCAGGATGATTTCTTAGCTTTTTAATCTGTTGTATCCAAGTGAAGTTATCTACTGAACAATGAGTGAGACCTGGGTAGAGACTATTGAAGTGTGTCATGTCAATGCCAGAATCTGCACCAAACTCCATCTTCCAGAATACACCGCGGCTTACAAACATGACCGCCCAAGACTACATCTCCCAACACACTGATGCACATCTACGTTCAAGATCACCTGACTTCTAATCACCTGAACTCACTACACATGCACACTATAAATACTGACTCCAAACACTCACACAATGTGAAGCAGTGCTCAGTGTTGTTCTCACCTGCTGTAGCAGGCCTTGTTTCTCAGGCCTATTAGTCTGCCTCATAATCTTGTTTTTATTTTCTGGTTCAGGGATTCTAGTTTTTGCCCGTGTAGCCTGTTTGCTTATCGCCTGACCTTTTGAGTATTTTTTGACTTTGCTATTGCTTCACATTTTGGATTTGTTTGTCTGTCTGCTTTAAATAAAGTGTATTTTGTAACTGCATCACATCTGCCACATCACAAAGTGAAACAATCCATAGCAATCTTTAGGGATACGGTGTGGTAACATTCACAGCAATCTCCTGGCAATCCTCATCAAATGGTAAATAAACTTCTTCCATAAACCTTCTCCATATCAACAATTATATGTTTTTCTTTGCTATATAACAACACTTTTTAACCTGTTTTTATCCTGATTAGCCTTAGATTATTGTGGAACGCCCACCATAAATTTCCTGTGTTACATTAGAAGCAATATCGTGTTAGAATGATCGCATTAATATAAACCTATCAACCAAAAGCTAGCAATAGGAGAATGACATAGAAAAACTCATGGGCCAGCTACAAAGGTTTATGTTTGAGCAAGTGATCATTTAAAATACTGACTTGCTCACATTAAATAATATAACATTACCAGCATACATGCCAGGCCCCTTGTACAGTGAGTTGCAAAGCTAGCATGCAAGGGAATGGATAGAAAAATACCCTTATCACACCAAGCTAACCTTGAAAAATGGCATTCCATATTTTCCTCATTTACCCACCTACAAATGCCTCCAAACTTCTACTCTTCACCTTTTTAAACTGTGTTTACTCTAAGCATGAAAATGCTGTCACATAAACACAGGTCTTCCGTTATTCATCCTATAATCTGACATGGAGAACACATTATCGCACAGTGTGTTATATACTTCGGCCAAGATTTAATTGGGATCATCTCGTACAGTGTAACAAGTGATAACGGCTGGAATCGGATAGCTTGAAATCAGCTTTGGTCAATTCAGTTCTGATATAAATGTTTAGCATTTGTTGTTTCAGTGTTTACACAATGTTCAGAACGCTACTGGTGACACTGCTGTACTGATTGACTGTGTTTTGATGTATGAGGCTAATGTTTTGAATGTTTAAGGTCCTTCTAAACAGGTGGTAAAGTGCGAAATGCTTCTACGGTTCCCAGAATTGTGCTTATGTTTTGCACTTATGAGTTTTTGAGAATTAGATTAGTGGTTCGTGGAAATGTGTCAGAGAAATTGAGGGGGGAAAAAAACCTGTAAGTGTCTCTGGAAAAGCAAAACATTCAACTGTTGTGAAAAAAAAAGAAGTTATAGAAAAAATAGCAACGCATATGTGTGTGTGTGTGTGTGTGTGTGTGTGTGTGTGTGTGTGTGTGTGTGTGTGTGTGAGAGAGAGAGATAGAAAAGTACTGTAAATTGAATCTGAAACTGAAAGCCACAGTTTATATGATGGAACGTCTTTCAGTGAAAATCATTCTACCCTTTATGAATCTCTCAAAATTGCCATTGTTGTTTTGATGATTTCTTTCAGGCAGTCAGGTACAAACGTACTAAGTGAGTAAGTGCGTATGCGGGTAGAAAGTGAATAAGTAACAGGGCTAGAGAAAGGGTAAGGGACAGGAGTGAGTAAATGACAGGGTGAGTGAGTGAACAAATGTGTGTATAAGTGAGTGGGTAAATAAGTGAGCGACAGGGTCAAAGTAAAGCTGGTGATGAAGATCAAATGACAAACAAATGAACCACCGCTTAACGCTCAAAGTCATTGGTAGGCTCAAAAACATGACAGTGTATATCTTCTTAGCACAGTCTGCACTGCTGGGGGTCTGCCGCAGGCTAAACATTTTTGAAAACTCTGCTGCAAACGTTTTGTCCCCTGCAGGTTGGGAGCAGAAGCAATGTGTCGCCTCTTGTTCCGATTCTCAACATTATGTCTGTATGTTAAGATATGAATGTATATCGTTGTGCAGCAGAAATTTGATCTACTAATTCTCATAGCAAATCTTTATTTATGACTATCATTTTAGGACCTTGGTGAAACAACTGCTCAGGGAAATTGTGTGCACAAAAATGTACAATATATCTTATGCTGTTATTCTAAATAGGATTTATGCATATTATATACAAC